GAGGTTGGATTATTATTTATCCTTCCATGTGCCCATATTATCCCAAAAAAATAGTTCTAAATGATCTTGCGAAAATTTGTGTAGAGTAAGATATTTTAGTATATTTTCTTTTCAAACAGGCGGTCATACAAGAAAAGTTTGCTATTGATACATGTCAAAAGACCTATAATGCCAGTTTTTCGACTTGTAGCGATACCAGGCTTATCTTCATCAGGAGCCAATATAAACATTAAATAATATTTAGCGTATTCCAAATAATCTTTTGTGTTCGAAATTTTATTTTTGAAATAAGAGCTTTTTGAATTCATACTGACACATGTTCCTAGAGTTGAGAATGTCAAAGAGATTGTTAATTAGACGGATAAGACTAATTGTAGCCGCCGCATTTTTGAATTCAACACTACTTTTTTCACAAACTTGAAGTGCGTCGGCTACGCTATTACTGAAAAACTGACCGGCTAATTTTACTTTCATTTTTTGTTGCGGAAAATGTATATGCTTGTCTCTTAACTTGTTCCCGAGATGGACTTCAGACTTTTGTAGGTTATTAAGTTTGACGAGATGAGACCATTCGATATAATTGCCCTGATAATCAAGAAGCTTATTTTTATTTTCTAAGGCATTACGCACTAGTTTTAGCATGTGGCATGCGTCGAGGAATACCGCTACTTCGTAGTCAGCAATAGGGTGTTTAAAAAGCAGATTTTATTTTCTGAGGATCTAACAAACATCTTAACTTTTTAAGCGTAGCAGTATTTGCAGTGCAACCATCTATCGTAAGTAAAACAACGTCTACACCATTTTCTTGGCATTTGTAGAGGCATTGTTGAACTATTTAGGCCCGTTGTTCTCCGATCATAGAATGAATCAGGAAAAACCCACATGTAATTTCCACCGTTCTGTTTGAGATTCAAGCAACAGAACTGAGGCTTGAGACGCCTCATCCGAGTCAAATTTCGGAATCCTCTCCCTGTAGAAGCTGTTTGGTTTCCATTTCTGTATTTAAGTTAAATTTTGAACCTGAAACAAAGGCGAGATGTACTTAAAGCGTATTTCGCTTAGAAAAAAAAACATCTTAAAGTTGTACGTGAAGCGAAAGTAGTGCCACTATATAAGTACCTGCTTTTTCAAACATTTAACTTTCATTTGAAGTCTTCTGATCTTTAGCCCGTCTTTTTTGGCTTTCCATCTAGTTTTTTTTCTATTCTAGTCCAGAAGTTGTTCTATCTCTCGCTTTAGCTTCTTCTTTCTAGGGGAATCATGAAATATTAAACATTCGTTTAAATTACTTGTAATTATATAAAGTATAAAACAACAATATGAAATTAACTCATTCTACCAAAATAAAAAACTAGTAAAATACAAACTGCATCCAAACGAACCTATATATCGAGATTAACACTAGGTAAAGTTCCCTCCTTTAATTTTTTAAAGCCTTTTATTGTAAATGAGAAATCATTGAAATGGCAAGAACAAATCTTTGTATATTTTGTCGGAGTGCAGTCTGGTCTATTAATTTTTGCGATCCATTACTGTTTAATATTATCTTCGGATGGAAATCTAGAATATAAAGTAAATAAAATAACCTAGGTGAGCTTTTTAACTAACTGAACTACAACTGTTATAATAGTTGTCTCGTGAAAGAAAAGTTTCAAGGAGACTGAATATTGTACATAGAACATTTAATTTCAGGAAGACTTTATTTTACTAAGGATAAAATGAATATTTCTAGAAGGCTGACTTTTACGATATTCTTAACATTTAAATTGTATTTAAGTATTTCTTTGTGCATGTAGAATGTTTACACACATGTATGCATTTCGTAAAAAATCAGCCATTCTTTTTAATATTTAAAATACTTTCAAGATATGTGTCTTGAAAGTATGTTTCCAAGATATATATATATATATATATATATATATATATATATATATATATTTTTTTTTTTTTTTTTTTAGGGTTACTGAGTAAAATAATTGGATTCTAATTACGACCCCGTCTTTTTATTTTTTTGATTGTTCTTTTGCAAACGAAAGGCAAACGACGTTTAAACATTGGCACGCTAGATGGCATCCAAGTGATCTTAAATAATTCTGATAAACCAATATCCTATGTTCAATAATTGGTTAATTTCCTTTCCAACCGTTAAAAACAGTATAAAATAACATAAAACTAATGACCTTGGACACCGATGTTTTTTTGTAAACACTTTTATTACTTATTATTGTTCTGTGACAACATAAATAACAAAAATCGTAGGTAAAGCGACGTTGCCGTCCTTCCTGACAACAAACTGATAAGAGTACTAACTCACTCTGAATTTAAACATTAATAAAAATTCTCCAACTGCAAACAGAACTTTCTATAACCTAGTGGCAAAAAAATGGCCTGATTGGCTATATACTCGTATTTTTACTGATGCCTCCAAATTGTCCTCATTCAAATGTGTAGGTTCTGCAATCTGGATTCCCAAATATAAAATTGTCCTTAACTATAGATGCCCTCCTCAGGCTTCTGTTTTTACAGGGGAAGCTGTAGCCATATATGAGGCTATATCCTACATTTTTTCCCATAAAATTCCTAAATCAGTTTTATTTACTGATTCAAAAAGCTGCCTAATGTCGTTACAGAGCAATATATCTAAAATGAAATCCATCTCCCCATTGATACTGAAAATTAAAGAACTCATACTAAATTGTAATAAGAGTGGGCTTGAGGTAGAGATTGTGTGGATTCCTAGTCATTGTGGCATAGAAGGAAATGAACAGGCTGACTCCTGGGCCAAAGGAGCGGTAGATACTGGCTGCCCTTCTCATTTAATGAATTACTCTCATGATTTAATATCATTAGCTCAAATTGAATTAAAGAATCCTTGGGACAGAGATTGGAGCATATCCAGACATAGTAAAGGTAGCTACTTTGGTAAAATCCAACCCCAAATTCCTCCGAAACCTTGGTTTTTCAAATTTAGGTTTCTGAACAAACAAATCACATCTACAACTGCCGTTTAAGGCTCGGGCATGTCTGCACTCCTGTATTCCTAGCTAAAATTAGAATCAAAGATCGTTCCCTCTGTGAATGTGGTCTGGATGAAGGTTCCCCAGACCACATTTTCTTCAGTTGTCAAAATCACCCAATTTCTTTATATGACATCGTTCCCAAAACAATCCCTCGTCCAGTTAATATCAATTCCCTCTTAACTATCCCCGATTCCATATATGTCAATACAATCTCAAAATATATTCGAATGTATAATATTAAAGTATAATTATTGTGTACTAAATTTAGCTTAACCTAATTCTATATTACCTGCCCAGGCTACTACCCTCCTATAACTAGATTTTTACTCTATATTGTGTGGTCCTCAATTCATATATTTAGTTGCTTTGTTTTTATCCACATTCTCACCTAATAACCACTAACTCCTTTTCCACCGGAAAGCCTCAAGACAAGGTGTGACAGACCGAAGACCGGACATTGGCAGAGTTATTGTGACATTATCACAATACCAAGGGCCATATAGTTATTTAAAAAAAAAGAGTACTAACGTATTCCTGACCACAGTATATGAAATCATGAATGAATTCCGCAATTAATTTATATACTGTGTTCCTGACCTTGAATTGACGAAACAAGAGCGTTGCCAAACTTCGTTCATTTGTTTGACTTGTTATAAAATATATTCTGATTTCGGTTGTCACGCGCTATGATTTGGGCGCGGAATTTCTTGTGTATTATACATATTGTTAATAAAACTACAATTACTATATTTATAACAGATATTAGTTTATTAATATTCGGTAAATACTTCCAACTTCAACTATACATCTAGTTAGTTATGATATACTTTCATATTTTAAATACTCTGCATTCTTAACAGGTACCTATCCGCCATTACAATAATCCCCGATCATCTCCCTCGTCCCGTCACACCCGTGTTTTCGCTTGTTGACGCTCGAATGCCCGCCGGACAGCGCTCGCTCAAATCACTTCCTTTTATTCAGAATCATTTTAATTTGCGTAAATTCAGTGAAAATAATTATACTTAATAAAAAATAATAATAATTATTGGATTCATAATATCAGATTTTTTGTGATATTTGCTAACAGACGGCCGTCCTGTTTAAGGAATGCCCTCATTCCGATTCGGCCATTCGAGCGTTTGTATGTCCCCATACGTTTATATACAATAATTTAAGTAAACTAAAATAAATTTAGTGAAGTCAGTTACTAAACAAGGAAATTTGTAATGATATTTTTTTTAATAATTTCAACATAATCAATATTCTGATAGTTTAAACACTTTGCTGGAATTTGGATGCTTGTAGGTGACGTTATAGTAATACCCACACTAAAGTGCTGCCCGGTGGCTTCCGTGGAACAATTTGACGTCCATCAAATCACCAGATCTACAAAGTATACATAAATGTAAATTAACATACAAACACATTTTAATTATATAAGTATGCTTACGTTGAAATATAGGTTTTCAGTTTATCGTATGATGATATGCTTATTTAAGAATTCTATAAAATAATGCTTCTTAAATACTTTAATATTTTAATTCATTTATACATTTACCAATCGGCGAGTACCGATCAAACGTCGGCATCCTTCGCTCTAGTATTATAGTATATGCTTAGTTTAGTTAAAGATGAGTACCGTTAGCACTTCGGCATCCTTCACATCAGTGAGTACCGCTTGTGCTTCGGCATCCTTCATCTGAATCAGTTTTATGATCAGGTGAGTACAGCTTGAATTTCGGCATCCTCCACTTTATCGTGGGTACCGCTTGAACTTCGGCATCCTTCACCTTTGTTTAATTTTATTAATTGAATCTTTTGATTTCCTTTACTTTAAGAGTTCGACACACGCATATATCTGAAATACATCTAAGAAAGGACATTTGGGGTAAAAGGATTAGGGTAAGGATTACACTAATTGCAGATTAAGATAAAGAATCAAAATCACATTTTGGCTAAGTTAAGCAAAGCATTAACTTAATCAGAGGAATTATTGAGGTACATGTCTTCGCTATTCAGATCTGTGATCTTCGCTGAAGCATCGTCATTTTCCACTCCAGCCGAATCAAAAGTTATCCACCGCTTAAGTTGGTCTGCGGGGTAAATACTTTTGTAATTGCGTTTTGAAATTCCCACGATGCTTGATATCTCATAACGCTCGTTCTTGAGTACACCGGAAATTTTAAAGGGCCCTCTAAACTTCGGACACAATTTTTTGCTTTTGCCATTGGCTGGGTTATGATGGTTTGGGATCATGACGAGATCACCTAAGTTGAAAAGCTTAGTTGGTGCACGATTCCTATCGTAATAGGCTTTCATGCGACTTTGATTACTCGCGATGTTATTCTCGGCAGATTGTCTGATTTTGTCCCTTGTATCTGCTTCATTAATCGCATCATATTTTCCCTCGTTTATCGCATTTAAAATGGAACCCTCACTTGGGTTCACAGTTCTATGTCCAAATACAACCTCCGAAGGACTTGTTCCTGTGCTCTTATTACAAGTATTGTTTAAGCTCCTTTGAACCTTACCAACGTGAATATTCCAATCACGCTCGTCTAAGTTATGATTTGAAGCGGCCAGACAATTTAGTATTGTACGATTATACTTTTATATCTGGCCGTTGGCACGAGGGGTTGCCACTGCATTTAATACATGCCTGGCGCCTATAGATTTCACATACTTCTTAAAAGATGCAGACGTAAAACTGGTACCCCTATCAGAAATAACGACTTTTGGAACTCCTATAGTGTCAAATATTTGTTGTAGGACTTTGATGGTATTCTTAGTTTTCAGATTTTTGATAGCCCTTAAGAAAATAAACTTACTGAATCCGTCAATAATTCCAAAAATGTAGGAATTACCATTTTTACTTCTCACAAATGGCCCTAAGTGGTCTATATGTAAGGTATGAAAGGGGGTATTTACCTTTTGGAATGGGGTGTAAGTATCCATTTCGCTTCGATGTGCTTGTTTTATTGTACGCGCAATTTAGGCATGCCGTTACGTATTTGCGTACAAATCGGTTCATTTTGGGAAACCAGTAGTCCTGTTTAATTTTATCAAGAGTATTTTCTTGATTAAAACTACTTTGACGGATTTTACCGCGTTTTATTTATATTATTTTTAATACCCGACGTTTCGGGTGCTTTCCAGCACCCATGGTCACGGGGGACTGAGGTGACTGACGTCCCGATGTCAAAGTTAACCCGGAGTACCTTCAGCTTTTTAATTAAAAAATAAAAAATAAATTGGAAAGCACCCGAAACGTCGGGTATTAAAATTAATATAAATAAAACGCGATAAAATCCGTAAAAGTAGTTTTAATCAATGTATAGTGTTCGCGTAAATATAAGAAATCATTAAGAGTATTTTCTACTGAGAAATGGCCTGCTTCATCATGATTTAGCTGACATATGCGCCATCTAGCACCATTTGGAACAACCCACTTCAGATTATCTCCTACTTTTCTGTAAATTTTATCATTTTGTAAAACTTAGTTATCTCTTATATCCCTTACACCCTTTTCTCCTGCCACTAATATAGATTTTATAAATTTTAAGTTTGGTTCCGTAATTTGAACTGTTTGTAACCAATCGGATGTCGAGATGATCATAATTTCAAATTCACGCACTTCAGCCGAGTCATCGGAATCTGTATTAGTAATAGGGTTTCTGCTAAGCACGTCCACGTGCCTCATGTTGTCTCCTGGTCTGTATTCGATGGTAAAGTTATACTCCTGTAAAAGAAGCCACCACCTTGCAATACGAGGTACCAGGTACCTTTTTGTGGGTGTAGTTCTGTGAGCATTGCAGACAGTGAAAACTTTAAAAGCTATACCGATCAAATAAGTGCGGAACTTTTTAAGGGATAAGACAACAGCAAGTGTTTCTAATTCGAAGGAGTGTAGAAATCCTTCATCTTTAGTTGTCTGTTTACTAAAGTAAGCCACTAGTCTAAAGGGGTGACTTTTCGTCGGGTTTCTGAAGTAATATTCCACCTAATCCTAGTTTACTTGCATCACAGTGAACCTCGGTGATGTATGTGGGGTCATATAACGCAATAAGTGGTCTGTCAGCTAGTTTAGCCTTAATAAATTGTAAGGCTGTGTCCTGATCATGCCCCCAGGTCCATGGTATATTGGCTTTGGTGAGTAAAGTCAGTGGTTTGGCAATAGTAGCAAAATTGGGTATAAATCGGCGAAAGAAACTAGCCAAGTATTTGGTGCACATTAGTAGGAGTAGGGAATTGCACCACTGCTTCTGCTTTTCGATGACCGGGCCTTAAGCCCTCGCCCGATACTTCGTATCCTAAGTAATCCAATGAGGTTTTAAAGAAGTAGCATTTCTTTATGCTTAGCGTTAGGCCTGCTCGTCGCAAAGCACTTAATATTTTACGCAGTTTGCCAAGTCCTTCGTCAATTGACACAGCTGGTGAAAGCAAATCGTCCATATCTCGCGTACGATGAATTAGATTCTTGTATAATCTTATTGTCTAAAAGATCATTCACTAAGTCCCTGACTATGAGTCGTTCACTATATAATAAACGATATGGCTTATATGTAACCGATGAATCATCAAGAAGATTAATTTGCATTTCTGAAATATTTGTTACTCCTAACTCACTGGTATCTAGTGCAAAACAATCCCAAAACTCGTTAACGATATTTAGTAACTGTCCCTTTTGCTCATCTGTAATATCTGATCCAAAATTAAGCATATCCAATGTTATATCGGCGTGTTCGTTAGCGCTACCATTAGAAAGAGTCATTTTATTTACCTCTAGCTCTGTTGGCATGTGGTGTGAAGTTACATAATTTGTAGTAGGAAGAAGTCGCGCACGGGCTAATAATGTATTTTCCTTTAAAACTCCAGTTCCACTAGAAAGGTTTATAACAATTATTCTACCTACACCTCCTTGAATGAAATAAACCCCTTGCAAAATCATCACCTCTTCATCCTCTTTAAATTACGTCCTACCAGGAATATAAACATATCCCGTATAACAGGTATTACTACGCACATCGACAGCATACATACCGTTAAATGTCGCATTGTTTGTATAAAAGATATCAATTTTGTTTAGTTCGGGCATATTAGAGTAAAGGACGAGGCTAGAACTAGTCTTATGAACTACAATATCAGACATTTCGGTTATATTTTGGCCTATTAAGACGTCCGTATTTAGGAATTGATCGGGAACTATATAAATTTCTATCTGAGCTTTGATAAAATCAATTGAGATATTAACCTTTGACCTTCCTAATGGCATAATAGTTCCAAAAGCAAATCCTTTGATAACGGGTAAATCGGTATGATCAAGTAATAAATTTAAGTCTCTAGCAACGCTGCTTTTTATTAGACTACACTGAATACCAAAATCTATAAAAGCAGTATTAACATGCCCATTTAACTTTACTGTTTTATTATAAATTTCAACTGTGTCCGATACCGTGATACGCTGAACTTTATTTGAACTACCTACACTTTTATCTCTAGCTAAAGGTTTGGATTTAATATTTGTGTCAAAATCGCGTTTACAATGTTCTGCTACGTGGCCCATGCGGTTGCATTTCGAACATCTTTGTAGTTCTTTAGGGCATTTTGGTACCGTATGACCTTGTTCGGAACAATTATAACACCGCACTATACGCGAGGTAGTTGAGGGTTTGTTATTTTTGGAAGGATCGGAAAACTTAGATGTTATTCCAGTAGTTTTAAAGGGCTGCGCGGTTTTCTTACTATCCCTGGTATTTCTGACATTTATGCTTCGTAAATACGTAAGAAGTTTATTAGGATTTCTGAATTTAGCCCCCTGGGCATGCCTGATGTTGTTGTCAAAAATGCCATGAATAATGCAGTCAACAGCATCTTTTTCTTTGATATTGCAGTGGTTGATTAATTTCGCTTTATTGTAAAAATATTCTTCTAACGTTTCTTCTCTGCGACTCTTTCTCTCAAGCATTTCAATTAGCCTATCAGCATAGTTGCTGTCGTCCGGGAAATTTCTGAGTAACTTTCTTTGCCATTCCTTCCAGCTAAGTTTAACAGTAGATAAGCCTTCATACCATCTACGAGCTAGACCTGAAAGATTTGGTAATGCATGGAAAATTATTTGCTTTTCACTCCACTTGTAAATAGCAGCGGTATCGTTAACTTTCCTTCGCCAAGCCTTGGTAGTTTGCATTTTTTGATTAGGGTCAAATTTGGGAATAACGTCATGTGCACCTATAAACGAATTACGTTCGTGACTACTGATAGCATCTATAAATCTCTCCATAACGGAATGTTCATCGTTCGATGTGCGTCTACTATAAAATTGTCGTCGATTGGTTTTTTATGTGAAGATCGTCTTGATGTCGAACGCGAACTACAAGTATCACTACTTGATTATGCCTACTCACTACTTTCTGTGGAACTGGTAGAAGCAGAACTGCTTCTTGATGGACTACTATCACAGTTAATGCCTTTCTTGCGGCGATGGTGTTTTCTTATCGACTGGAATCCGCTTCTGTGTTTTGTCCGGCGGCATCTATTTCACGTTGGCGTTTGGACCGCGATGTCACAACATCCGAATCAGCATCAGAGCCATTTCTTGACCGTCGTTGTCCCATAGAGGAGCGAGAGCTACGACGTTTTCTACTTATAAATACATCAGATATGGCTTGCTGCTTTCGCAAACAAGGATCATGAATTCCATCATCAAACAATGGTGGTGTAGCAGTGCCACGTGACATTGTTTCTTTATCAATATAATAAAATCTTAATTATATTCAAATTACCATATAAGATAACATAATGAAAATGGAGGGTTGGGAAGGAAGAAAAAAAAAACAAAATTAATGTAAATTTTTGAGAAACATTAAGCACACATCATAGACTTTGTCTAATTACATAAAATCACTTTATTTAAAATATAAGCACCCACATGTCCGAAAATGTTAATTTGGTAATTTTATCAGTAGCATGTAGGTATAGCTTAACATTGATCAACTTAATACTTTTTATTTTCCATTCCTATATTTGTTTTTTTAAGTGTAAAGTATTTTTGTTCGGAGAATTACAAGTATTTATGATGTTTAATTGTTGAAGTACATACTAACCAATAACAAAATTGTATGCTTGCATAATATACAATGTGTCCGGTTTCCGATGTCCGATACTTTAAGGGGTTAAAATACAATTAATTTTATCGACAAATCAGGGATCAATGATTTTTTTTCGCCATCAATAAAAAAATGGCAGCACTTTAAAAAAAATTGTTGGCGAAGCATAGATGCTTGTATTAATTTAACAATATCTACCCAAGTAGAAGACTTTCAAAAACAAAATTGGTCTCAAATGTTAGTTAATAGTGTAGACAATAAATCTAGATTCAAAATATTATTTTTTAATTTTTCAGTATTAGTAGAAAACATTTTTTGAAAAAATAAATTAGACAACAAATTGATGTTGTCTTTCAGATTCTTAGCTTTAAAAAAAACCATCGTATTAACCAATTTTTTTACTTATTTTTATTATAATACAGGATATTTGCTATAAATGTACATTTAAATCTTAACTCTGAGTTAGATAGTTTAGGAGCTATGTCAGTGTAAACGTACTTACTTGAAAAGCGCGGATACACTAGCAAATGAAATAAAACAAAATAATTTATATCAATTGCATTTAATTTGGCAAAATAATTACAAAAACTGCTCAAAGTGACCTCCTTGTCTCTGTAGACATGCTGTTGCTCTTAGTGCAACGTGTTGCGTAGAGCGCTGGATCATTTCCTTGTCTTCTCGCAATTCGTTTGCTGCTTGAATTATTTTTTCTGCGAACTCCTCTCGTGTATTTGGCACATTTACATACACTCGTCGTTTGAGTGTGCCCCACAAAAAAAATCGAGAGGTGTTAAATCCGGCGACTGCGGTGGCCAAGCAATTGTTCCTCCGCGTCCGATCCACGACGAATAGTGTGCATTTAAATGATTCCGCACAAGAAGCGCGAAGTGTGCCGGAGCACCATCCAATTGCAGAATCATTCTGGCCCTGTAGGCCAATGGTAACTCCAATAAAGCATCCAAAAAATTCGTTTCCAGGAAATTTAGGAATCTTGGGCTATTCATTGTCTCCGGTAAAATGATTGGTCCAATTAGAATGTCGTCAATCATTCCGGCCCAAACGTTGACAGAAAATTTATGTTGAAAAGAACTTGGGCGGATCGCATGTGGATTTTCTTGAAGCCACAGGTGTTCGTTACGGTAGTTCGGTACCCTGATCGCGTGAAAGTAGCTTCGTCTGTCCACATAATTCTTTTTAAAAAGTTTGGATCATATCGCGTTTCTCTCAATATCCACGAACAAAATATTGCTCTTCTTACATAATCCGGTTCCAGTATTTCTTGCACCCTTCGAAAATGGTAAGGATGTAATCCTTCTCTTTTTAAAATTTTCCACACCGACCATTTTGATAGACTGAGACGATTAGCTATGCGTCTAATGCTCGGGCTAGGGTCTTGAGTAATCATTTGCAATATTTGATGTTCATCTTGGAGCGACAAAACACGAGTACGTTCGTTACCGAGCCTTCTTATTCCATTTTCCGCAAGTCTCAAATGAATTCTCACGAAAGTGGGAGCATTCGGCGTACGTCTGTTAGGAAATCTGCGTGCATACTCTACAACAGCTCTATTTGCACTCCCGTTACACAATCCATACACGAAATGGATGTCAGCGATATGCTGGCTTGAGTACTCGTTCATTGTAATAAACAAAAAGTAACAGTTCAACAACAAAACAAAAACGTAACAAAGTCTAACAACAAACAATAATTATGTACAGTAAGTAGATTTACTTAAAACCAGGAATGTTATCACAACGCAGAGCGAGGGACAACTGCTCGACGGCACAAGCACACTGCACCCTTTTTACCTGGAGACAGCCGTTATTCTGTCTCGCTCGCACTGTTGGGCACAGCGTTTTTTACCTGCTCACACAAGGGATGCTATTGTACTTGCTTACGATTCCTTGAATTATTGAAGAATTTTATCTTACTCACTGGAATGGGTGTTTAGTTATCTAATATCGGGGTAGAGGCACTTTGAACAGTTACATTCAAATTATCATAGCTCCTTAAACTATCTAACTCAAAGTTAAGATTTAAATGTGCATTTATAGCAAATATCCTGTTTTATAATAAAAACAAGCAAAAAAATTGGTTAACACGATGGTTTTTTTTAAAGCTAAGAATCTGAAAAACAACATCAATTTGTTGTCTAATTTATTTTTTCAAAAATGTTTTTTACTAATACTGAAAAATTAAAAAATAATATTTTGATCTAGATTTATTGTCTACACTATTAACTAACATTTGAGACCAATTTTGTTTCTGAAAGTCTTCTACTTGGGTAGATATTGTTAAATTAATACAAGCATCTATGCTTCGCCAACAATTTATTTTAAAGTGCTGCCATTTTTTTATTGATGGCGAAAAAAAATCATTGATCCCTGATTTGTCGATAAAATTAATTGTATTTTAACCCCTTAAAGTATCGGACATCGGAAACCGGACACTCTGTATAACAGATAAAGGGAATAAATGATAAGTACTTATAAAATCAATTAGATATGTTTAAATACGAGTATTGAGTATACTTAACTTCTGTATTGTTTTACAGTATATATTGAAACATTTCTTATGACATTATATTTAAAATTTTAAGATAAATAACACATACCTAGTAATAATAAATAATGAACCAAAATATGTTTATTTCTCAATAAAACTA